CCGGTCAACGGCACAAATAAACGGCTGACTAGGAAGTATAAAATCAATAGTAAGGAAATTTAACGCAGATTTATGATCTGAGGGAAAGGTTTCAGTATGCTATTAAAAAAATCAAAATTGATGTCGGTAGTGCTTTTATGCGACACTTCGTATATTTAAAAATATGTTTAGCATATCGCAAAATTCAGACAACACGGCATTTTAATTTTTTCCTTTTTTTTTGTCTCCAACCATGTAGACGCAACAGAAAAAACTTTTCTCAATTCCATGCTGAATTACATTTGGCTATTTTATTATTACTTGGCATTACTTCAGTTGAACATATTCCTTTAGATTTTCAATAAAGAATATCAAATTTCTTATATTATTAAAGTCTCATAATTTGAAAAGTAGTTGTTTAAAAAATTTTAAATTATGTTTTTGGAATACTAATAATGCCAGTTAAAAAGAACATACATTATTTGAACTAGAATATTTTATACAAATATTTGAATAGGTAACCAGCAAATCCATGTAATCATCGAGAATAATAATCTCAATCAATCATGTTGTCGGCAAAGGAACTTTGTATATTAAAAAAGGGAATTTGAAGAAAACAGCTCATTTGATCATGTTTTGCTCATTTTCACAATAATACAATTACTTTTAATCTCTTTATTCCTCGCAATCTTAGCTTAAGTGGCTATTGTAGAAGCATCAAGCGAGAAAGTTTACAGATTAGACACTCCAGAAAAGGCTTTAAGCAATATTTATTTTCATTTTATGTTTACAATTTGGCAACGGAATCTTTTCAATATTTGAATGAACACAATTTTACTTGCGGTAACTATATACACTAGGTACGTCGGTATGCATAGTTAAGCAGGACCGATTCGCCGTAATGTCGCCGTCATAAATGAACACAGAAGCATTGTTGCCAAAGTTTAGGTAAAGAAAGTCGCATAGTCACAAACTAAAAATCGCTCAAATCGCCCAACGTGGACGAAGGCTTGGTGGTGCTAACTTTTATCGTCCATTTTGGCGTATACCGTAAATGCAACATTTAAGGCATTTAACAAATTTGATCGCCTAATTGCGATTTGTCGCTGAACTTGGCAGCACTGGCAGAAAAATATCCATTGGCCGAGATAAAAATATTATCATATTCGTTCGTTCGCCGATCTTACGTATGTATGCTCAATTCCGTGTTTTTTGGCAAAATGTTGGAGATATTCTTACCCATCTCCGACAATTCGCCAAGTAAATAGTGTTTCAGTATATGTTAATTAATATAAGTATTAAGAACATTTTAAGCTATTAAATATGGATCGAGATCTTCAAATATTGTATACTGTACATCGACATATTTTGGATGCAGAATTGGATATAACGCCGTTGGTTCGCTGCCGACATATGTTATCGGCGAATCGCTGCTCTTGACTATGCATTCGGGCGTAGGTATATCCAAGACGGAGCAGTGCGAACATGCGAATTTAATTAAAAGGAAAAGTCGAATTTCTGTTATATTATTTTTGGTTGTTAATGTGAAAATTAAAGCAAAACCAACTACACTTTCTCGTAGCAAATTTAAGTCCTTATGAAGACCATATTATTAATTTCTTGCTTGGACGTTTAGTTTTCAAGATACAATTCAATATTTCCGGGACAATGCGGTCCTGTCTTGTTTATTTAAAAAATCTAAAATATCTTTTTATTGTGAATACAGCGATGTATAGCGTATTATTATTTACTTGAGGTTTGTTCAGCTCTTTAATTTAATTACCAGAAATGTGTGCAATTTGGTCTGCGCTATGCAGCAAACATTTATTTTTAACAAGATATTTATTATAATTGTTAATATCCGAAACATTTTCATCAAAAATTAATTATCCAAAGTGTTTTGTCTGAAAAACATGGAAGAAAACATATTAAATATAGGTACATATATTAAAAAAGTATAAAAATGTTTGATGTTATCATGTTTGATTTAAGTCAACGAAATGGTTATTTTTGTGTATTTGAACAAGCAACCGGAAAGGAGATAACCAAACTAAAGATTGTTAAATACATAAGTTACTAATCTCAAATGGTCGGGTGAATTTATAAATGAACTTATTATTTGCTGCTACTGAAATCCCGGGAATTTCAACTCGCAAAGTTCGAGGAAATTTGGATATGGTAAAATCCAAACCGTGTTTGATTTTGGCGGAAATGGTACATTTTCCTTTCTTAAAGTTTGGCTTCAAATAATTGTGTATTCCGTGGAAGAAGTTTGCATCTTTTAGTGCAAACCAAATTCTTACTTGTACAGTCAAGAAGCTTATACAAATAAGAAAGTCAAAAGTCAAGAACTGATTGGTATTTAACCTGCGTTGGAATATCCGAAACAACGATAATAAATAAAAGGATTCGTCCAACAGATCCGAATAAAGATTAAGAATAATGTAAGCACACCTGTTCTAAGGTCGCCAGTTTTAAGATACATAGGTATGCTATTTTAGTTATTTTTAATCGAATGGCTTTATTCTGAAATCTTCTTGTTATTAATTTTAATGTTTACGTTATTATTATTAAAAAGGTAGTTGCTAAATAATTCGGAAATTTCATTGTCTGGACGACTGGTGGCCCAGACTCCCATAAAAGCAATCTTGGATGTTTTTTTTTAAATAAAAACCTTCAACGGTGCTTTTTTGTTCCAATAACAAACTGATAACAATTAATGTTTTGGCTAAAAGGCGCCTTTCAGCACGTTCAATAACAATTGGATAAATTAAAGAACTCGTGAAACCAAGGAACAAGGAACCTGCTACAGATCAATTTGTTTAAAAATAGATCAAACTAAATGTATTATAATGTTATATGATGTTGAATTCAGAATATAGTTACACCTTCGATTTAGCTAATAAACAGGGTCGTGTTAAAATTAATTTCTTGAAAATTAAAGGTCGAAGCGGCAAATTGATCATGTGGTTTTCAGGGTGACCTAAAAGGGGCCTACTCAACAAAGTTGTCAGGGAGACCTATTTGAAATTTTTGCACAAAATGACAGTTGCAACCACTTGAATAGTTATCCATTTTTCGTATGAGGGAATGATAATATGTAATACATATAATAAAATCGCCCTAAATAAATTTCGTCAAATGGAAATCCCCCTTTTGATAGTTTTGCTTTATTCAGCATTAAAAATAAGGGTAAGTTCGTGTAAAGTTGTCTATTCCAAAAGTGTTTAGTTTTCGAAATATTGACAATTTAATGTTTTTATATGGCTATTTTGCCCTCATCTCATTTTAAATCCTGCCACTCTTAGTTGCTATGACGAAATTGGCCATTTTTAATATAATCAAATGCCAAAAGAATGCTGACAGATGTCAGTTAACTTTTGAAAATAATTAATGATCATGCCCGGTCTGTTAAATTATACAAACAAAGATTATTTAAACTTATTTATTATTTATGGAAAATATTCTCACATATGTGATGAATTTATATCAATCACAGTTTATGTATGTTATGTATTTTATATGTTATATATATGTATGTTATATGTTATGTAAGTCTGTACATGAATAAGAAAATCCAGTTTTTTTTCAAATTTAGGGGTCTCTTATTTTACTGGTTGCCCTTATAAATTGAACATGCACTGTTATTCTGACGTATTCAAAATTCTTGAAATTTTCTATAATTTATTTTACAGCACAGCATGAAGGCTTCTGTTTTTGTGGACATCGATACAGCGTTATCACATTCTTCATAAATAATAAATAAGTTTAAATAATCTTCGTTTGTATAATTTAAGTGTCTGGGCATGATTATTAATAATTTTCAAAAGGTAACTGACAGCTGTCAGCACTCCTTTGGCATTTGATTGTATTAAAAATGCTCACTTTCGTAATGACAACTGAGTGACAGGATTTAAAATAAGCTGCGGCAAAATATAGCCATATGAAAATATAAAATTGGCAATATTTCGAAAACTTAACACTTTTCAAAAAGAGAGCCTTACACAAACATACATTAATTTTTTAAACTGAATAAGACAAAATTATCAAAAATTTGAAAAAAATTTTTTGTCGAAATTCATTAAAGTAAGTCCTTTTCAGCAATAAATGCGACTAAAATTAAGTAACACAAATTCCCTTATAGGGAAAATGAATAATTATTCGAGTGGATGCAACTGTCATTTTTTTTCTATAGAAAAGTCTTCTTTTCTATAGAAACTGATTGTGAAAAATAACAATTGATCGGTAAATACCCCTTTATAAAAGACTATGCATATGATATAATTATTTTAAATTGACTAGACCTCGATTGAATTTTAGTTTTTGATAAACGGATTGTTATGTCTGGAATACCGGACTCTGGATAGAAAGTCCCACTTCTATTTTGATCCCATCTCGATCAACTTCGACTACCAATTTCGACCAACCTGTATATGATCACACTTCTTCCAACATTTAGATTATTTCTATTTTTTTCAAATAATTACCATGACTAATCTTCTTGGAGGTCACCTTAAAATTACATGCCTACTAATGGTCTAATTTGTGGTAGGTATTATGCGCCTAGTTAAATTATAAATTAGATCTAGACCAATCAAAATAATACCAGCAAACAAACAAAAATAATAAAGCATTCCAGAAAACTAATATTTTATTTGGCTGGTGGTTCATGTAGGACAGTTTCGGGTCGACAAAATTAAATTTATAGAAACGGAAGTTTAGAAAATGGGAAAAGGCAGCTCAAGAGTTTAATGATTGAAACTGGAGAAGCTCAGACTGATTTAAATGTAGAACTAAATTACAAAATCACCATTTATAGGAAACAAAATAGGTCTAGACCTTTTAATCGTTAACTTGAATTAATCATCTATGCCAAGGTAAATAAATGCTATTTATAACACCATGTAGTAAACCACCTTGCAAACGCTGTGGATTTTTATTTTAAACTATTTTTGTAGCAGAAACAGCCCCAACTTTATAGTCGGAAAATTAAGAAAAAGTAAAAAGAAGCGCTCACTTACCGTAAAGGATCCGACACACTATTTTTAGCGATTTATTAAAAAATAGAACACATATCACTGTGCTATTATCCTTATTAGAGGCGTACACCAAACAAAATCTTCGTCTTCTTTCGATCAAACGTTCGCTAATGTAGCTTATGACATGTGAATAATCTTACACTGAGCAACAAACGATGCGCGCATTTTTTAAACGCTCACAATATGCGCGTCTATAATGAAAAAGTGAACGAGTTGGTTTTAAACCAACGAATGGTGTCGATTTAAATATAATGTTACTGTTAATGGGAAGAGAATAATTATTATTCTCTAATGCGCAGATTAAAATGTAAAGTAACTGCTTTGTTTGTAGCTTTTAAAACGTTATTTTTATCAACGGAATAATGAATATGCTTGTCGGTTAAAAACGTTGACAAAAAATATCCAAGACAAATTCGCCAAACTGAACGAATTCGAACATGTATGCATTTCGGGCCACATTTTATTCAGTGTCGGCATTGTTTTCTGACAATTTATTTTTATTTGCTAAGTAAATTGAAATTTTATTAAATTACAAAATATTTTGCAAATTTTACGTATTACCTGACCCGATTTCAAATAAAAAACTTGTTCAAGTCTTGATTTAATTAAGTTACTACTATAGTAATGTACCATTTGGAGTTTTATTATTGTGGATTTTTTAACCCATTTATATAATTTTAGGCAATTAATTGATCAAATTCCCATTAGTAATTATCGTATTATCCAGTTATATCTGTTAAACAACTTTCCATTGACCAACAATTTATTTCAAACATTAATCAACATTTTTTTTGCAAAACATTTTGGAAAATTACTTCAATAAAACATATTTATATATTTAGAAGTTGAAAAATTCAACGGTTTTAATATTTAGAAATGTGATTATTTATTTATGAAAGTTTATACAATTAATTTAAGATCAAATAAGAATTAGAGAGAAACAGAGAGACTATTTGTAATTTGGCGCTTCTTGAGTCACAAACCGAGAATAGATGACGAAGAATGAGGTTAGAATTTGTATTGTTGTTTTTGAGATTAGATTTAAAATCCAGATTTTTCCATTATTTTAATATTGCCACATAAACAATAAGTGTTACACGTACTAGTTCAGTGGTGCTTTGTTCGCGTACAATCATGTTAAAAGCCGTGATCTTAATTGGGGGACCACTGAAAGGAACTCGTTTTCGGCCACTTTCTCTGGATATTCCAAAACCGCTGTTTCCAGTTGCTGGATTGCCCGTGATCAGACATCATATCGAAGCCTGCACAGCAGTGAACGAGCTGAAGGAAATTTTGATAATCGGATACTATCCAGCGAGCCATTTGCAACAGTTTGTTAATGATATGCAGCTGCAGTATAATATTGTAATCAAATATTTACAAGAATTCACTGCCCTAGGAACTGCTGGAGGATTATATCATTTTCGGGATCAGATTAGATCCGGATCACCTGACGCATTTTTCGTTTTAAATGGAGATGTTTGTGCAGATTTCCCTCTCAAAGAGCTGTACGAATTTCACAGAGAAAGATCTGCCACTGCCTTGGTCACTGTGATGAGTACTGAAGCCACACATCAACAATCACTTAACTTTGGCTGCATGGTAATCGACAAAAAAACACAAGAAATAACCCACTACGTTGAGAAACCCAGCTCGTATGTTTCAACGTTAATTAACTGTGGAATTTATGTTTTTTCCCTGAAGATATTTAACACAATTGGAGAAACCTTCAACATCAAACAAGAGGAATATTATAAGAATGGAAACGGAAATGCTTGTAAAGATGCTGGATATCTTCAACTGGAACAGCACATTTTAACATCACTCGCTGGAACTGGAAAAATGTGTGCATTGCAAACAAGTAACTGGTGGTCCCAGTTAAAAACGGCTAGCTCAGCGATTTATGCCAATCGCCACTACCTTGAATTATGCAAAGAAAAACACCCCGAAAGACTAGCAATCGGAAAAAGAGCTGAACTTTGCACAATTATTCCCGATGTTCATATTGATCCAACCGCTGATGTCCATCCGACTGCTGTAATCGGACCCAACGTATCTATTGGCCCTGGTGTTCAAATTGGGGCTGGTGTGAGGATAAGAGAAAGCATAGTTCTGGATGCTGCAGTCATTGAAGAACGCAGTTTAATACTACATAGCATCATTGGTAGACATTCCAGGATCGGGAAATGGGCAAGAGTTGAAGGAACGCCTTGTGATCCCGATCCCAACAAACCTTTCGCCAAAATGGAAAACCCCAGATTATTTAATAATGATGGAAGACTCAATCCCTCGATAACCATTCTGGGATGTTCTGTGAGCGTGCCATCGGAAACCATCTTGCTGAACTCCATTGTTCTGCCCAATAAGGAATTGTCACGAAGCATTAAAAACGAAATCATATTGTAAATTGTTTAAACGCTGTAAATAATATTCCATATTTTGGAAATTATTATAAGAAACTGTAATTAAGAATTTAGTTAAGTTTGATTGATATCAGTGTAGCCATATTTTTGACTGGAATAAAAACTGTTCTAGTTTTAAAACAGTTATTTCTTACGTACAGTAGATTTTTTTAAACTATCTAAGATCTCTCTTAATCTTCGCATCTTTCATATTGAAAAAAAAAAACAGTTCATTTTCAAATGTTGGTTTTTTATCTCATGAGTTATTCCTGGATTTATAATATTCCGATAATCTTAAGTATTCCATTAATCATAAATGATCCCATAATCAAAAAACGTCTTTCTACACATTACAATTTTGAGGAAGGTGAGAGCGCACCTTCTACTGGTAAGCGAAATTTCATCGCTCAAAAAAAAGTATGTTCACCGCTAAATTATACATAATTTTATAAAATTTTGAAATTTACAAAGTGATCATGTTTGATCCACTACAAGTCTCAATTTATTTAAAAATATATCGTACTCTAGCTAAATGAATATTCTAGATGTACAACCTTTTTCTCAATTGTTTTGAATTGAGAGCTTGTTGTCCCCAGCCAACACCGAATGTGATAATCACGTCAAAAGACGTTGCGTAGGTCAAAATCACTAATTTCGTCAAGTCATTTAAACGTGATATTCACGGCCATACGGCACAAAGAAATTACGTTCATAAAGGACGTAAACGAACACTACAATACTTTAAAAATGCTACTTTACGCCCAACAGAAGCAAACAGTAATTTGTGAAAGAAAAACATAATTTGAAGAAATAACAAATACATCAAAATAGTACTAAATTAAATGATGATAAATTATTGGCCCAAATTTCACTGTTAGAGATATTCTCTGCAGATTCGTAAATAAGCGCCTACATTTCAACTTCATCATCACTCAGCATTATCTACTTTAATATTAAGACTATTTTTGATATGTTTCTATCAATATCTTTTTAATACCTTACTGTTAATTTATTATTATTATATCGGTTTATTGAATCTTCAATCCGAAAGGACTTCACTTCTGGTCAGTTTGGCGGGAGTACGGCCAGAAAAGAACAAACGAATCTTTTCAATACAAAATTTTAATCAACATAAGGAAGACCATAATTATTCACTAATTAAATCTTCATTGATATAATTGTAGGTACACTTTTGATGTTGTGTTTTGAGGAGGAAAAAACAAAAGAACATTTCTAGTTACAAAAATTAGTTTATTTCTTACAAACATGATAATATGGAGAATGGATTATTTGGGTCGAAAACTGATTCTGATTCCTCTTCCGAAGACTCTGGATCTCCACTTATCTCAGTATTAATTGGTTGTTTCTTCTTTTTTCTATGTTTCTTCATATGCTGGCTTTTAGTGTTTTCGCAATTAAAATTACTATCAGCTATGCTTATCAGGTACTTTATACCCTCTAACAAAGAGGGGCATTCATTTAGAAATACATTCAGATATTCCACAATATCAGTTCTCTTTCTTAAATTCGCTGTAATATTATAAATAAACGTGCCATCAAAAATCTTATGAACTTCTAACAGTGGATAAGGATTATTTAAAAGTGCATTTAAATATTTAATATGAAGAAAAATACTTTGCATTTGTGCTAACGAGTGAACTAATTCTTTATCGTAAAGTCTATAATTCATTTTCAGTTTAGAGTCCATTTGAAAGCAAGAAATAACTTTACCTAAGAAAATTAAACACTCGTCATAGACCAAATTCTCAAAATTGCTGAACGTTTGCTTAATTGACTGCTTAGCATTTGCTAAAGTTTGAGCAAATTTTTTTTCAAAAGTTTTTGTTACTCTACAAAAACCAACTTTAGGATCAATAAAGTTTAAAGTTAAGAAACAAATAAGGCAGCCATAAATTATTGCACTATCAAAACTTCCTTTAGTACAAGCATATTTGAGGGAAATAAAAAATAAGCGCCATTCAATGGAAAATGTTTGCAGTAATTGGTTGAAACTATTGTCAAAAGATATAAATTGCAACAATAGCTCTTGTCTTTTTTCCACACTTAATAACTGAATTTCTCCCAAAGAAGGTGTATCTAATGCTATTCTAGGCAAAATAACATATTTAATTCCATGTTTTCCATTTCGAAACACGATGGTTAAACCTCTACTGCAATTTGGAGTTAAAATTTGATAGACTATTTTCAATAAATCCAAACTTATTGTGTGAGAATGCTCAGCAGAACTGTTTTCCACTTGAGGCACGCAGTAATATCTACTTAAACTAATCATATCCATGAAACAAGCGGGGTATTGGCAAGCTCTATATTTTTCCTGAAATATTTTTGTCGTAATAATGTTGTCCTGAATGTCGCTGTTGAGACTTTTTACTGTGCTTTTCTCTTCTGGTTCTTCGACAGAATCCAATGTTTCATGTTCAATTCCAGACTCATCATCACTCTCAGAATCGTCGGTCTTGCTTTCAGGCTCCTCACTAATTCTCAAACGATTGAAATCTATGCAAAAATTGCTTAATGTACTTTGATCAATGTCCAAGAACTTCAATAGTTCACTATTCACTTCATTATATCCTTTCATAGCACTTTCAATCTGACTTAAAATGACCTGTCTTCTATGATTTTTAAACCTACTTAAAATAGTCCTTATTGCACTTTCAATATTTTCGTTTTGAAGCCAAACGATTACACTTTTTATTCTTTTTTGTTGATCACTTTGATTACTGCTGCACTTTTGCATTTTTAGATTCCTAAAAAATGGTGCAAACAATCGCCCATTGATATAGTCGTTTCCTAAAATCACAGCTAACAGTGGCAAATTACCTTTGTCCAAACCTCCATAAGCTTGAAGAAAATTCTCAACATGATAAATTTTACATGAAATGTACAGGTAAGGGATTTTGGTCGGTTTCGTTTTACCTTTGCGCGCGGTAACTTCCACAGTTGTAAACGGTATGTAAAGACAGCCCAATACATAGAAATCTGAATCGTAACTGATCACTGGGCAATTTAAAGCTTGAGCAATACCAGCAATCTCCATGTCTCCTTCAAACTCACATCGGGCTACTTTTAAACCCAAACTAAGCACCACGTCAACGAAGACTTCTCGAAGGAACAATGGAAAGACGGGGGCACTGCCTTCGGTCATCGCATTGAGAGATTCTGCAGCGCATATTTTGTTCTTCATGCGGCTTACCACAGTATTTAGCTTGCGTTTCTCGTAGCCACCATCTAGTATTATATACGAAGTGATATTGCATTGAGATAATGTACTGAAAAAATTGCGGATTACTTGGGCAAATTTATCGTAGTCGCCGCCAAAACAATCATTACTTTTACAGTGCCATTTGTAAAGGTTTGAAGCAAGGCTGTTTCCATCGAGGACCACATTACAGTCATGTAATTCGTGATCTTTTAAGTATAGATGGGCCCGGTTGTTTATGAATGTTGTAAGGCCTCGGATACCCATGACTTTCTATAAATACTGATGATTTGTGACTTAAATTGCCATAGTTATCTTATATGGGTTATGTGCTTAGATAATGTAGGTTATGACCCTTTATGAAAACTCTTCTCAATTTTCTGCAATCGAGAATCAAAATTGTGTAGATTTGCCATTATTTTAATGTTCATTAAGGTATTTTAATTTCTCTATGGTCTCGCCGTAACAGAAACATAATCTAGAGACCATTGGTGATAAATTACGTAACTATCGCTGAAACCATAATATAACCCTACTTTTATACACAACGTAACCTAAGCTTTTTACTACGGCATTTAAGCAATTTTTGTGTTTTTATATCGAATAGTTTAATTGAATATTACACAGCCAGAATGGTGTTCTCCAGTCTGGTAAATTATGTTCGTTCGAGAGGGCCGGACGAGTTTTGGAAAAAGCGGAGAATTTTCAAACTCGCTGCGGTGAGTGAATCAAATCTCTATTTTAAACTTTTTCTCTTATGCCTCTCTTAAATTCTATTTTTAATGCGATTTCTTCTGTGGTCATTTCCAAATAAATGAGTTTTAGCATTATATCGGGAGAAGGCGTAACTGCTACAGTATTGCGGTTCGTTCTGTGCATAGGGCATTGGCTTATGTTACCAAAGGAAGGAAGCTGAAGAAGTTGGACATGGCAGATGTAAGTCATACTTACACATACTTATAGAGAAACAAGTACTTGTCTGACTTATAAATTAATCAATATGCATACATATACATTGCATAGTTTTAACTGCGTATGCTACCACCAAAAATTCTAAAAAGCTCTGTTTTTCAATTTTTGTATAAAACTGTTAGCGCTTAATTTCTTATCGTCTGTATCCTTAGTAATGGTTGCAACCATATATAGTGTGTCCCTTGGCTGCGTTTATGGTCTCTTTTATCTGTCCTATCTCTTTTGTAGAACTTTACCAGTACTTTAATTCTGAAAATATTAATTTTCAATCAATATATTGAGATATTTTCAATGATACCTTTACTAGCAATTTTCTTACTGTTGTTTCTTGTGAAAATGTGATATTCGACCACTTTTCACTCAAATCGTTGAAATTTATTACTTTTGCATGCACTCCTAACATGTATTACAATACCGATGCTGCACCGTCAAAAATATCAAACTATTCTTGCTGTTGTAAATGTTGCTCCGTCAGTAAAATTTGTTTTATAACTCTAATTACGTACATGTACGCTGTACGTATACGTATACATTTAATTATAAGTTTAGATATTTTTGAATCACCCTGTATATTATGTGAGTGGAACAATTTTGTTTATGGACATTTGCTTTTTACACGTAAAAAACACCTACCTGAATGACCTTCTAATTTTTTCCCGAAATTTATGGAAACAAACGTTTCTCTGTAACTGAATAATAGAGATTGCCGTTTATATGTCTCTTTATATGTGATTAATTTGTAGTTATGGGTTACGAGAATTGAAGCTGCTTGTGCTCAACATAACTTAGAGTATAAGACACTACGAAACTCTTTGAATCAATCAGATATTTTGATAAATAGGAAGATACTATCTGAACTTGCTGTTTGGGAACCTCATACTTTTAAAGCTCTTACCGATATTGCAAAAAGAAGAACACTCGATGATGGACTGGCCTCGATTACAACAAGTAATTCCGAAGTGGATAGAATTATTACCAAAGGAACACTTCATGTTAATAAGCAATAGATATGATTGTGAGTAGAATTTTAGAAACTAAATAATATTTTGATCAAAAATTATGTTTGCTGTGTAACATATTGTAATATGGCATGTGAAAAAGTGAATTAAACATTGTTTAGAATGCTGTTAGTTTCGTCTCTGATTTTAAAATCACAAGATAATTTTTTAAATGTTTCTGAATATTTAATACATACAGAAATGACACTCAAAAACATTTAACTAAATACATTTTTTATTCGATCAAAATTTAAAACAACTACAAGACATTAGACGTTAATTTTCTAAAAGGGCACAGCTCGAAAGTCGCTGCTCAAAAGATCATTTTTGGCAATGTTTATCATAGTTTAATTTATTTTATACTCACCAAGTTCCTCAATTGTTTCGAATATTAAATTAGCAAAATTCTCAAACTGGAAAAAATTGAATATGCTTTTCATAATTCGGCACACTTTTTCTATTTCTGTTAGTCATTAGTGAGCCGGGCAAAGTTATTTTTGATGTTGGCCCAATTGTTGGGACTTTTGAGAGAAATTAGATATTTTAACAATCACAATTGTTATTCGCTTATATTCAAATATTCACTGTCTACCTTAGATTACCATGTCGTCGGGGAAATGAATAGTAAATAGTGTCGGCGAAATTGGTTTTGCTAAGGGTTTCTTGTTTCTTTCTACTCTAAGAACATTCCAAGCAACTATCGTTGAACAAATCATGGAGATACTCATTTAGTTACAGACATTTTTAAATTTCCACATATAATTGACGCCATTTCATTTTGTATTCTTTATACATGTGCATGTATCAGAATGTAATTTGAAATAAAGAAATGAATAAAAAAAATAATTGTTCAGCCTCGTCTGAAATTAAAAAAAAAGTCAACTTTTTTAATATGCATATTAATCCCCTGATATATCTGGACGATTTAAAGAATATTTTGTTCTTTGATAATATTTGTTGACCCTGGCTCTATGTTGTCGTCTGTTTCTTGAAGTGATTATGTCCCGCTGGGAGCAAGAGTTCAACTTTATCCTTATAGAGTATGCACGGAAAAAGATGGAGGTAAGTAACTCAATAACAATTAATTCTGCCGTTTCAAAAAGTTTTTATTTAACTTGAGTCAATATTCAAAGCAATAGTTCTGACAAATCAAGCAAGGTTACATGCGATTTTCGGTAGTAAAAGATATTGTCGTTTTTTTGTTTATCTCTTCTAAATAAATTAGCGTATATTCAACAGTTACCAGAGGATAAAATATTGCACTGCAATTTTATTTGCAACGAAACATTTATATGTTAACCTTATAATGCGGCATGTGCAACAAATTTTTCAGTTGAATGGTCACTCGTTATGAATCTGAATCAACACATAATTTTGTTGTATTGTTTGCCACAATTTATCGTATACATTATTTTACTTGTGCGGATTGTTTCAGAGGTATTAGAGCTATATTAAATGTCTTTGCTCTGTTTATTTTTTATATTCTTTTTCGTTTTCGTTGATGTTTTAAATATTTGTCGGCAATTTTACTTACATTAAGCGGAATAAGAGGAACTAAAATAATGTACAAGCTATTGTTGGTTATTTTATTATCGGAATGCGTACTTGCAGATGATTTAGTGTTGTTTGCTAAAAGCGAAACAAGGCTTAGGGTAAGAAACAGTAAGATGAATATAGAAAACTCTGAAGTAATTGCGGTGGGACAAGACGATATAGTAAAAGTTGATATATACGATGTGTAGGTGGAACAAGTGCAAAGGTCTAAATGCTCAATAGTGTAGATGCAAAGTAATGAAAATCAAGAGTAAAAAATAAGTGAAAGGATTAAGCTGAAGGCATTCAGCATTACCTTGCTTGCATTTTTGGCTCTAGGCAACAATGTAAAGGGAAAAAGGCAGTTTGCAGAACTGTCTCATGTGGAGCAGCGTAAGTTGGGTTATAACAAATACCCTCAAAAGTAAAGTCTAGACAGCAGATAAAAATGCATAGTAGTATAGATGCCAATGGAGGCACCGGAGGTCCCTGTTTCAAGCTAATGAAAATACAAAGATAAAACATCTAATATTATACCGATAAAGCTTGAGCGCCCGTGAATGTATGGAAGGTCAGAGAAAGTGATTAGGAAGTCAGAAAAAGGATCAGCGAATGCAAACATGGAAGAATACACTGCAGATATTTTACAACAGAAGAATTACGTTGAAAAAGGCAAATTAAAATGTGGGGGGGAGCAGTTTATAAATGTATATAAATAACTATAAAGACCCCAGACCCATTAAGGAACAAATGAGAATCATCATCATCATCATCATCATCATCATACTACAGCTATTCGATCCATTGTTGGAATAAGCCTCCTCAAGTTGCTTCCACCTTATGCGGTCCTCAACGTGTGACCAAACGTTTCCTGCAGTTTTGTCTATGTTATCTTTTCATCTCGATCTATTTTTTTTACCGTGACCTCAATACTGTTACTTTCTTTGTCCATCTGTAGCCCTGGATTCCTGTTATGTGCCCGGCCCAGGCTATGTGTCTTGCTGCGTCATCCATCTTTGCTTTCTGTCTTATATGTTCGTTTCTTATTTGGTCTTGTAGTCTCACTCCAAGCATAGCTATTTCCATTTTCCTTTGACATCGTTTAACCTTTTCCATTGTTGTTTTCTTTATGGTCCATGTTTCGGATGCATATGTTAGAATTGCAAGCACGCATTAATTGTATACTTTTCTCTTTAGATACTGGGGTATTTTTGTATTCAATATTTGGTTTCTAAGTATGCCAAATGCTGCCCATGCCATTTTTAATCGTCTGTCAATCTGCGCTGTTTGTGCCTCCTCTGTTAATATTATTTTCTGTCCCAGATATATGTATTCGTCTAGCATTTCTATTTGTTCGTTTTCCATTTCGACAGGTTATTAGACCTGCCGTAACACCATAGACCATTTAAACCTGCTGTAACACTGCGTTGAGTTGCGCTTCTGAGTTGATGCCGCTCTGTCAGTTGGTGAGTTAGAACTCATCGCATCGCGCCTCACTATGCCACGTCCCGAACTGTGCTTGTGGCGGAATAATTCTTGAAATCAGGACTTTTAGAGGACATTCTTAATTAATTGAAATATTGTTGGTTTATATCATCGCTCGGAAATTGAGCAACAGTTTCATTTCTAAGTGATTTCTTGGCGGTTTTTTAAATACTTTTAGAAAAACGAAACTAATTTGCTTATTAATTTTAGTTTTGGCGTTGTGCATGAATCACTGCAGCTGAGTGAAATTCAAACAAATATAAATGGCTCTAAATTTAAAATTAAATTAGTGAAAGATCGGCGCTTGGAGCATTTTTAGTTTAGTTGTTGACTTTCGTTAAGGTGGAATGTTAATCTTGCCTTTGGAAATATTGCAATGTGAACACGCACTTTCTACAAAAATGTCAACACATAAACAAACTGAATTCGAACTGCCAGGCAACAGCAGCGCAATGAATCATCGAAAGGGCAAACAATTAAATGGTTAAATAATCATGTTCATTCTGTAGTTCGGTGTCTTTTTTTCTCGAAAAGGTCTGCGAGTGTTCACTTTCCTACCGACAGTGGACGAAATCGCTTGATAATCATTTGTGTCGTGTGAATCCCGTTATTAGATGGGAAATATGGAATCATTGTGGCCCTTATGGCAAGTGCGGTAGTTTGTGAAAGTGTAGTGAACTTTTGGAGGATTCATGGGTAGAAAATGGAAGATGTGTGGCGCCAGCTTGCTAAAAGCTGGTCTGAATGATCTCTGATCTATAAATCTTCTAGCTCGAACGGCTCGATTTCAAATCAGTTTGGCTTTGGGCAGATTTCCTGCTCTATTAAACACATTTTCTTCTTTATTTTCAGATGGCACTACGCAGCTTTCGGTAAGCTTAGCATATTCATCAGCTCGTAGGGTAGATTTAGTGTCGATTGAGTTATTAGTTCTTTCAATAATTTCTTCCATTATTTCGTTATATTGGTTCACGTCCTTTCTTACTTCCCCTCTGATTTGCTTCTTTACCACTTTCAGATCTTTGTCCGTAATTTTTAGTTTTTTGTAATTTCTGCTCCGTATTAGTTTCATTCTCTCTTCTGTTATCTTACTTAGTGCTTGTTTCTTTAGTGCAACTTTAAGGATTTCCTGTGCAGTTCTTGTCAACTTATCTGTTATGTAATTATATGTATATGTTATATATAATCTGTTAAATAATTATTATCTTTGCTCTTACTATTCGATGGTTGCCTGTTTGCACCATATTCAGTACAGTTACGTCTGTGACTATGTATTTGTATTGCATGTAAATGAGAATAAGATTTTTTAAATCAGTAGAAACCAAGTTTTTAATTATTCCCGGACAGTATTCAATAATGCATTCTAAATTTCACAATTTGAAGTGGAAATAAAACTTGAGTAAAAATGTATAAATCGTATGTATTTATATACATAGGTATATTTGCAGCAAAATTATTCGCTGATCACGCTTCTACATTAAAACAAAGATCATTGAAAGCATTCTTATTACATAAGGCACTATATCAAGAAATTCTTGAAGATTTACAACTTTACATTACAATAAAATAGTTTAAGTATGGCGTTTTGTGTAAAATCATAAATAAAAGTCCAAATTAAACATTTTGTCAATTGTGTTGGAAACTAATTACAGTTGAACTTCCTACTGAGCCTTATATACAAAACGGTATCTATTTACAAAAAAATATCACATTAGTGGTTGGTAACATTATCATAGTTTTGCCCACTATAATCTACTAAGCTATCACTAAAACTAGAGCTAGTAATTCTAAAGTCCAAGTCACTGAATACATTACAATTTTCACTGGGATGATTCACTTTATTGTCAAATACATTCAAAAAATTTGTATAGTCACTATATTGATTCAAATCTACGAATTCTTGGTAGTTGGGTTTCATAGCTTTTTGGGGGTTTTGAAAATGCTGAAAGTTTTGTTGAAAATTCTCTGAATTGTTGAAATATGTGGGTAGTTTTGTGTCAGAAATATGCAAATCAAAATGAGGATTTTCTGTTTTGAATTCCGTAATGTCCATTAACGCATCATCATAAACGGCACTTGATGATGGCTTTGAATGTAGAACTGTTTGGTTATAGTTTGCCGAATCCAGTTTCGGCTGATTAGAATAAAAATTCTGATCCAAAGGGCACACCGAATTGTTATTTAGTATTTTAGGAACATCAGGACTTTGACTAACATTATATCTACTGTTCGAACTGGTATTGGAGTCATCATTTAGGAAATTAACATTGGTTTGTGGCCAATAATCTTCAGTCTTTAGTCCTCTCTGTATAGTTCCACTTCCCAAGTCAAGTAGAGTTGGGGGTGATCGTGTTAGATCGTTTATACCGCCTCTAACGTCAGTGCTTCCTTGAACATACACGTAATCCGGCTTAATAGGTTGATCTAATTGGAAAATTTCCTCAGGTTGGAACAAATCAGCAGGTATGTTGCTAAAGTCATAGGCAGCACTTTCCAGATTTACCATTTCACTAGGATACGCTTGTGCATGTGCAGGTTCTTGCGTCCAATAACTATTCAAATGCTGCGGTTCTGGTTGGTAAGTCTGAGGGGAAGTTGGAAAATGTTGCACGGGCGTTGATATTGATGGCTGATACATACAAACACACTCGAAAGGTGGACACGAACAATAGCCTGCAAATAATGTTATACTTTAGCACATAAGTACATTTTTTTATTAAACGTTTTTTTTATCCAAGATTTTTTGTATTTAGTTAATATTTACCTTTCTCCGGGGCGGTTAAAGATGTGTTGCTTGTTCTCATTACTTGATTAACATCCTTGCAAGGTCGCTTTGGGTCTCTCAGTGACATTAGCTGCAAAAAATACATTTCGTAATTCCTGAACTTGAGAGTACCTAAGTAAATCGATTACGTTCAAAAGTTGAGAATTTTCAAATATGTGTATTAACTTTATAAAATATTGTATAAAGTATGAATTTTATTTTATATATTTTTGCAATGAAACTGCTCTATTCCTCCACGAATACACTTAAATCGTCGAAATCGAATCAGTTATGCTGTGCAAAAGTCACCAGGTACGAACCAAGGTGATTAAAATATGATTGATATACAGGGTTATTTTTAAGTTGACTGTTTCGTTTTAACAATATCTTTATTTGCCACTTTTCCGAAAAATCTAAATTAACGAAAATTTGGGGTTTTAAAATTTAAAATTATAAGAAACACTAGAATTTGTGCGAAGTGTTTAAGTAGATCACCTTTTATCCAGTTGATTTCTTCGCGTGTGGTTACCAGAAATATTTCGTTTTTATGACTCTGGTAGAAACAATAGAGTGTTTTCCGCATAAGATAAGTTTACAGGTCAATCAGAGAGTCAGAGGCCAACGAGTTTCTAGACAGGGCGGGATGACCGACCAGTGCGAATGGTGATCATCTTCCAAATATATTTAAGTCACAATGTGCTTAGAATCATTGTTAGATCATTTCAAATTTTAACACCCTGTTTAGTGATGGGGACTATAGAATTATTAGTTAGTTGTAATTCATTCGAATTATTCGAAAGCAATGTTGTGAAAACCATCGAATTAAAACTATCGAATTATTCGATAGTGTTAAGTAGTTAATAAGATATTTTGAAATCTAATTCATTTGAGTTGTTCTATAGCAGTGTTTTATTCATTTGTTTTATAATTAACGACTAATCTAGCAAACAAGCTACAAAAATGTGTAATCATAAAAACAGTAAAAATTTTTTTTTTTTTAGTTTATTTTAAATTGTATTTTTTTTATCATTAACTATTTTTTGTCAAAATGGACTCATCACTTTCAAAGAAAACGGTTGATATCGAGTCCAAGGTTTTAAAGTTTGTAATTTATAACTGTCCTACACTGCACTAGATAGCGATGACTATTCAATGAATGAATTCATTCGAATGATTTTATTCGATAGTCGGAATAATGCGATAGTGCCCATCATTAACCCTGTTCCTTCGCTACTTTTCATTTTTGCGAAAAGTTGTAAGTAGAAATAACTTTATAAATCTGAAACTAAAGTTAATTCGCTATAAATACAAGGTCACTTGTTAAATGACACAAAAATCAAGGCAAAAAGATATATTTTGGGTGTTTTATTTAAAAAATATCGAAATGCAGTTAAGTGGCGTACATTTTTTTGTTAATCATGTGTGATTAAGGTCTCCCAACCTGGCTCCTATGGACTTAATGTTAGGACCGGATCAGATGTTTATTACAACAAAAAATAACATAATAAATTGAAAAAATCACAAACAAACATATTTTAATTTTTATATTTAAAAATATATGCCAAGGCTTAAAGTAGCAACAACGCTACACATTGAAACTGATGATGGTGGAAAACACCGAAACGTTTTTTAATTGATAAATAGACAATAAATGACTGAAGCCCATTAATTGATTTTGATTTGGAATTGAAACACAGTCAGGAAAGTATGTACAATAATTGATAGTGTTTCGATTGTCTTTTGCATATAATTTACAACGTGTTGAAAAACTCGGAGTAACATCTCGCATATTCTGAGCAGTTATTTTAAACACTTTTACTTTGGGAGCAATAAACTCTCAAAAAATAAAATAAAATAATTGGTTGATTATGATAAATAGAAGTGCTTTGTGCTTGATCGGTTAATCAAAATACCAATCAGTTGAAAAAGAATGTCAAATGACTCAAATGGGGGAGACGATCGTTAAATGATCGATTTATTGCGTTATTTTTACGTTGAAGTACGCATATTATATATAGATAGATATAGCTAAATATTAAGGTAAGTTGAAATTGTTATCTAAATTTATCAAATATTTTGCGAGCCATAAAGATGAAATAGAAACAGGCCATGTATTGAAACGCTAGTTTTATTATTTAATATGAAGATGAAAGTTTCATTAGAATTATGGTTTTATGCGGATAAGTAATTGCGGAGAACTTGAATAAGCAATAGCTTACATTTTAAAATAGTTATCCGATTGAACGACTTCTGATTTCATCGTTTGCATACTAAATGATATTACAAATAAGGTATTTAACATCCTACGTAGTATTCATTTTTCTCACGGAAATTTCTCCTTTGTTTCCCGCTATATCGTTCCGGCATCTTGCTTTCCGCATTCGATTTCTATCTCCAATTATAATATGCCGCATTTCGAAAAATCTCAACTTAATCAGAATTCAAGACTTATCCGATTATTGCATCAATCGTATTGTTAGTTGTTGCCCCGCCTTGGGTCATATCTCTGCCCAGTGTCGAGATATCGAGAAAGTATCCTACTCTGTTATTAGTTGAATACATATTGTAATTATGGTTTTTCATTGGGTATCTAAGTGAGAGTATCTTTTTCTACTGGCAAATTACCATTTTGTGAGGATCACATAAGGTTGTAGGTAATGTTTGGGAAAAGGGGTATGCGTACCTTGTTTCCTAAAGCAGCCTCTTTGGCTAATAGCACAGCCAGCCCTCGAACTCTCCTTCCGCTTCCTAGGGACCTTCTGGCTTCACTTGTACTTTTGGCTTCGGGCCGTGGGTGATCGTGAACTCCTTTGGCTTGAAAAAATATGGCATGCTCTGTATGCCTCCAGAAATGCGTTACCGGATAACCACAGTGCCCTCTGCAGGCAAGGATTTCTAAACGACCGGTACATTGACGATTCGGACACGGCTTTCCTTAAATTAAAGAAAGGACATTTAGTTGATTTATTTTTCAAATTTATTGAGAGAAAAATTTGTTAAATCATATATAGTTTAGTGGGGTGTGTTATAGTCATAACAGTTTTAGTGGGGTAAGTAACCGAACTTACCATTGTCCTTACCTTGCTGTTTCTTCCTGGCTTTATCACAGATAGCAGGTCTTAAGTGAACTTTCTCTCCATTTGGTAAGGTGCATCTCAATGAGCAAACAAGCACCCCCAAGCAGCTCTTTTTGAGAATATGGACGTTGTGGTTGTTTGTATTGCGCATTGCCCAACCCGAAGAATGACGTTTGGCCTCCTCATTATCAGCTCTAAGTAGATAAATGACTGATCAGACATATGAAAACGTTATTTCAAATTTAGAGCGATTTTTATATACAGGATGATTTTCAAAAAATGACCAAAAATTCACTGACATAATGTTTGGGCAAAAATATTGCGTTTCAGGCAAATTTGTCTTATCCGAAAGTTAATAGATTGCGAGATCCAGAGTGTCAAAGTGTAAATAAAAATTTCCCTTTTTTTGAATAGATTTTTAACCAGTTTTACTAGAAACACAAAAAATTGTGTTTTGGGTTTTTTTTTGACATCGGCAAATCCAAATTCCCTATTGGTTGGCTTGTAGTTTCTAGAGGGCGCTAGCTGCAATAGTCTGGAGCCATTTAAGACATCAAAACTTTTTTGGGGTTGCAAATATCGTCATACGGTTGGTAAAATAACATTCAATGATACAATTTTTAAACAAAAAAGTGTACTTGTTCGAAGTCGATATCTCTCACCGTTTCCGAGATATTTTACATTGAAACATATAGTGGTTTTTTGAACTAATTGGATATCTATCTCAAATTGGATATCTAAATAAAACAATTTTTTTGCGTAAATTTTCTATTAAACAAAACTTACGAAACATTAGACAGTATTTATTTAGGCACGTTCAGAACTACTTTAAAGTAATATAAGTCAATTTACGACAATATTAGGAATGTAGTTTGAGCTAGTTAAAAAAATGACTAGATGTTTCAATGTGAAATATCTCGAAAACGGTGACAGATATCGACTTGAATCAAGTACACATTTTTAGTTACGAAAATTTTGGGGAACCGGATATTACCCACAGAAAATCGATATATTAAATCCCAAAAAAGTTCTGATGTTTTAAATGACTCATACATACTATTGCAGCTGGCGCCCTCTAGAAACTACAAGGCACCCATTAGAAAAATCTAAAAATCCCCCAACACTGGTTAAAAATCTATTCAGAAAAAACGCAACTTTTATTTACACTTTAACACTATGTATCTCGGAATCTATTAACTTTCGGATAAGATAAATTTGCTTGAAACGCAATATTTTTGCCTAAACAATGTGCCAGTAAATTTTTGGACATTAGTTGAGGACCAACCTATATAATCAGGGTCTATAATTTTTTGGATATTTTGAATACGATTTGAATACGATGTCGAATAAATTATCAAACTTGCTGGAATTTTACGCCCATTAGAACCATAACAAGGAATTAACAATTACAATTACTTTATTCTGTATATGTTTTCCAAGGTTCAGCTTCCAGAGCGAAGCCAGTGCTGAAGTTTGCCTTAAATAAATCGAGTTTATGAATAATTGTTGCCAAATGGCTGAGGATTTTTAAACCAATTTCTCCAGCCGATAACTGCCAACGAGGGAACACATTTTGCAATAAAAACAATTTTGTTTGCTTTGTAAGTCGCGTTGTAGGAACACGGTAATGAATGTTTTTAAGGACAAAAAAGGACGCCACTGCTTTCTCATAAAATAAAAATTAGTTTCTCATCAACGAAAACTAGAACATCAGGAAAACGTAAGTTTCATCTAACGTAAAATCACTCTTTTTTTAAATGCTTTTCATTAAAGATATTCATTTTTGTGGCGGATTTTGCGATGAAAATGCAGACACGAATAATTTCAGATGCTTGTGTCTGCATTAGAAGACATACGAATGTTCGTAACGTTGACTTACGTGCTAATGACCGTCCAAATAAAAATCAGAATACTTTGCACTATTGATAACAATCCGATGTTGAGCTGGCACAGAGCGGATCAGCAACTAGGAATTTCTTAAAGGAAGTCTTAAATATTCGAGCACTACTTACTAGATGTCCATAAGCAAGGATAAAACCTACCACCCGTGCAAGATTTACATCCAGGGGATGCTGAGAAACGAATGAAGTTTTGCCATTGGCTTGTAAAATCTAGTGAAGTAGCGCGTTACCATAATCTAAATGTTTGGGTACATTAACTTTATCCACGGTCATTTCAAAATGAATTTTCAGTCAACATTTCATCGGCTAGGAAGGAATGAAATAAACAATAGGAAATTCAATGAAATTGAACTAGTGGCCACCCAGATAACCGGATTTTAATCCACTGGATGTATGAAAGACAGAGTCTATTCTACTCCAATTTTAACCAGGGATGAATTAGATTTATGGACTCAGCAAGCCTGCAATGATGAGCAATTTCTTTAATTTCTGTTGTTTCATTCAGTTCTTCAGTTTCATTAAATGATTATCAATATTTCATATTTTTTACTTGAAAACGCTGAGTTGTACAAGTCAATTCACAGAAAACCTTTTTATTTCAAACCGCATGAAGATTCCAGAAGTGATTTTTATTCTATGAAATACAAATTGTTTAAAGAGTGTGAGTGCGGACGCCACTGACAAAACAAAAATGTAGTTTTATTGCAAAATGTGCTCCTTCTTTCGGGAGTGATAACAGCCCTTTGGCAACATTCATACGTTCGATTTATATTTAAACACCTTCCATTTCCTTGACGAAGCATTTCACGGATATATTTGATAATGAAGTCATATTGTTTTTCATTCTCAAGCGTTTCCTGAAGTTTATGTTCTGGAAACTGGACAATACTGCCCGGAGCATGTTAAAATCGTACTAATCGTTTTAATTCAATCAATATTTTTTATTCATTATTCGCTTTCATATATCTTCCTCTTGAACCTCTGAACAGTGTTCTCATAAAACAAACTCGAAAACATTAACTCGGAATACATTTTACGAGTTTTACGAGTTAGTTTTAGCGAGTTTTACACGAAGAAATTTAATTTTAAAGCTTCTTCCAATCGAAGCAAAAATGGCAATCAGAAGTCGGACATATTCGGAAACATTTCCAAATACCTTTATGACGAGGTAAGAAGCCCGGCATTTAACCACATTTACCAGAAGAAATCCCTGTCGTTATTGACTTCTTATTATTGCTTTATTTTGGTTGAGAGCTATTCGCTAGTAATTATTTACATGACTACTTTGATTATTGTAAATTTTACTTTTTCCTATTAGTAAGTTTTTTTTCATGAATCAATTTCTAGGAAAAACTCATAATTCAATTGCTTCCCAATTTTAGTTGATGTAAAACATGCATCTAATTCAATCATATCTATCTACATACGATAATAATAAGAAGGGTCGCAATTTCTTCAAAATTTTATAAACTGTGGGAATAACTTAAAAAAATATGTGTTTTTACCTATAAACGAGCCTGCAATGACCGTCTGCCCATTCGGAAAATGGATCAAACTCATGTATTCTTGGTACGGCACTGTCGTTGATATCCCAATCCCCATGTCCGCCGCCGCTGGTTGCGTAACCTGCCCGGCAAGACATGCCAGGGGAAATCGAGGGAGTATGCCTAGAAAAACAAGAAAATTTAGTGGTAGGACCAATCTAATTGAAGCTTCCAATTAATAGAACACTTTGTTCTATTATGCTATAATTCATGCATTTCAAATATGTAATACATAGTAAAAATGGAGATTTTTCAATTTCTCAATAATATATTCATGCCCTCCCTGCCGGTGTCCGTGGCCAGGCTTATCTTTTATACGGATTTCTCGTCGCCCGATTGTTATCTGGCGAAGGCAATTAATCAGAAGAGATAATTACAGCTTGAACCGCGACAACTCTAATGAATTACAATTGTTTAATGTCGATAACGCCCCGGGTCTTCTTCAATCTGTTATTCACCATTTTACTCTTTCACTCTATGGACGATTGAGCTCTTCGAATGATATTTAAGAGAAGTTGCGATTGCCCATGAACGTACCGCTTTCGAAAGCAATAATTGTATGTAAGTACAATTTTACTCTGTACTCACAATAAATTTATTTTACGTTATCTGGATGAACGTTTCAACTATCTAGCTTTCACACTTTACTCAATAGTTTAAAAAGCCTTTAGCGATCAGCGTACATTAGAAAATGTTATTTCTAAAATAGACATAAGAATATTTATTTCGATTAATTAAGTTACTTAAATGGTCAGTGGGTAAGTATTTAAAAAGGTAAACATTCCTCTTAGTATTTAGTACCGCGGACATTGCGTGTTATCCAAGTAAAATGGTATTGAATGGTATATCAGTTTGCCTTCGATTTTACGAATACCTACGTATTGAATTTGAATTACATTTTCTGATTTATTTTGAGTCAATTTTGAATTAAGCAGCGAAAGAAGAAAATACGTTATTAACCCGATTGTTAAACCTACATTAAACATGAAAATAATTGTGATTTTTTTTATGCTCTGTTCTTAGTTCATTATTAAAAACTGCATTGTTTACTTATTAGATTAACTAAAAGAAACGTTTCTAAGTACCAGTTTTTATCATCAAAAAATATATGTTTGCATACCTGGTAGGTTTGTATCTGATATACAGCCTTAACTTTTTTAAATTTTCGCCCATATCAAATAATAAATATTACTACTAAATTTCTTTTGGCAAAATAGTTTGTTAGAAGCTTAGTTTTTTATTTTAAAATATTATTAGGCCGCTAAATTGATTTTTAATAATAATATGTTTATCCAAAATAAATTAATATTTAAAACTATACGATAAGAGTCGACATAATTGTTATAAAGTCATTTTAGCAATGTTGACATAAACATTTGATATGTTTTATACACACTTTGAATGCAAATAAAAATAAATTTATTAATTAAGCTGTTGTGACTAACATCCTAGAAATGGAATAATATGAAAATGGTACTACTGCATACATAGTGTTTACGATGCACCGAGATGATATACAAGATGTATTAACTGGCTGTAAGGCAGGATATTTACCCAACAATAATATTAACTCTAAAAGATTATTTTACTTAAGTTATTGCAATTGGCAAGGGTCTCATTTAAAAATTATTCTCAGTAATAAAACTACAGACCATTTAAAAAGTAAAAAAAAACTATATTTTCATCAAACTCGTCATTTTACCACTCAAAATCTTCCTAACAAATGGAAATCAAACAGCCCTTCTGTTTAATTAACACACTTTTTAGAATGTTTTTAAGTTCTTTAATTGTATATTTAAACTCGTCTATAATTAAATACAGACGGTTGTTGTATACAATGCAATGCATTGATTCAGAAAAATCGGCAATTTTTTGGGGGGGTTAGAACAAAAGTATAATATTTAATGTTACAATAAAAAAAATTAACATTTTATTTAATAAAATGATTGCACAATCATGATGCAAAAGAAAAAATAAACTAGTGACAATTAATTGATATTTAGGTTAAAAAATACGATATTATTCAGTGCGCTAGTGCCTAGCAGATTTTTATTCATATGATAGTTACACACCTAAACATTAATATGATATAATAAAAACATGCATTTTGAATGAAATGTAGATATCTTTTTCTTCCGGTTTCTATATCTACTTATTAAAGAAGGGTTAATTGTATGAAAACGCTATCGATAGTTCAGATCAGTGCTTTTTTCCTAGATATTCATCAAATCTCCAGAAAGTTTTAGGAAATAATACCAATTTTTCTCATTTTCAACTGCTTCAGGTTTGAGACAATATTTGTAGGAGACTAGACCATGTGATGTGATGTGATAATGATTACCCGTTTTAATTAAATTAATGTTGCAATCAGTTATATTTTTAATTCAGTATATAACGCAGTGGTTAATCGGTTTTCATTCAATCTTTTGCCCATACTAAGAGGCGTAGCTAGGTACTAGTTGAATTTTTGAAATCGAATGATACTGCAAATTTTTTCTATTTTTTAAAGTAACACTCTATTTAAGCCATGTCTATCAAGTTTAGTAAATGCCTATTGGGAAAGACTATCAGAACCAGCTTCGTCTTTTCGTGATTGGTTGTTGTGGCTGATTGAAAAATGTACATAGGTTTTCAATCAAGCATAGTAAGTATTTTAAGCATTTATGGCTCTTTAAGGACGAAACATTGCCAAAGTTTGCAATTATTCAAAAAGCAGCTCTCCAAAAACTGCACTTAATAACTTATATTCATAAGGAGCAAAACCCTGCAATTTTGTTTGAAAATATGTTGTTTTTGACACATACATTTGAGGCTTATTAGAGAACTAAAGACTACATGAATCTGAAGAAAAATAAGTATTCCATCCAAATGTTTTTGACAACAATTAGCTCTGAAAACTCAATTTTACCAAAAAATATTACACTGGTCGTTTCCTATTTTGTTTGAAAAAACATTATTAGTTTTGGCAACGGTTGGTGACGAAATTTTGGAAAGCATCAAAATAATAGCGGACACACAAATAACTAATTTAATTTTGTGCACATAACGAGCTGAGAATCAATAACACAGAAGATAAAAATCAACCACAGATTACATCATCACAAACCATAATATTCCCCTCTCGAAAATATTAGATGTAAACGCTTTAAGTTCAGCAAATAGAGGAACCACTCACAGGCTGGGATTAGCTAAATTAAGGAGATGTGTTCAAAGAAAACGGAAAAATAAACCAGAAATAATTGAAAAACTTAATATAGAGGCCATCAGCGACGTTACCACAAAATACTACCTGCCGACAACGATTAAAGGAGAAAATCATTGAAAATAAAATTTAGAATGACGATGATGTTGAGACTGCGTGGAGGAAACTTAGGAACAACATAACGGCAGCTGTAGAAGAAGCGCTAGGTAAACGCAGAATAAACAGAAATGGAAAGACCAACACGAAGCCATGGCTTACCGAAGATATCAAAATCCTTTCAGCAGAGAAAATATAGGCTTACATTTACCCAGCCCAGTCCCAGCTAGGAAGTACTATCACATAAGACAAATACAAAATTGTGAGAAACAGAGTGAGCAAATAAATTCAGGCAATCGAAAGAAGATTCTGGGAGAAATATTCAATAAACCTGGAGCATGATCTATTGAATATTTCTAATTAAATAAAAATGAATGAAAAATGAAACAATATGACAATGATGCCGGAACAGTCGAAACAAAACATCACAATCCCAATTTTCAGAAAAAGAGAAAAAATGGACCCACAGAATTATAGAGAATTATATTCCCCCCCTTCAAAGATATTCACAAAAATCGTAGCAGAATAAATTATACAGACTGGCATCAGTGAAGAACAACACGGGTTTCGACAAAACAGATCAACCGTAGATGCAATATTCAATTTAAGACAAATAGTGGAGAAATCCATTAGAATAGCAAAATTTCCCTTATGTGCTTTTTCGACCTAACGCAAGCCTTTGATAGGGTTCGATTTTGAGCCACTTTCTGAAACAGAGATTCGAATCCCAAAGCAATGCATATCATTAAAAAAATGAACATTGGAAATACCACCTTTATAAAAACAAAAAACGCTTCCCAACTAGGTACCAGTCTCAACGAGCCCAATACTCTTTAATATCTTAATGGATAAAATGAGCATGGCAGTAAAACGCGCGGGGAAAGGATATAAATTGGGCATGAAAGAATTTAAAATAATTTGATACGCTGACGACGCGGTGATAATAACGAAAGATGAGGACAATCTGCAGAAACTACTTTATGAATTCGAAAGAGCTGCAAAGGAATTAAACATGATGATCAAGTCACATCAAAATCACTAACAATCTTAAGGAACCGAGAAGGTGGAAGTCAGCTATCTACAATAAAAGTGTAGTACAGATCATGTCTTTCAAATATCTAAGCTTTAATATCACAAGTAATAGAAACCTTAAAGAAGAAGTCCGAACACAAACAATAGCACCGGCTAGGCTATCAGGGTATCTTCGGGACATAATATGGAGAAATAAACATATGAGTACTGAAGGCAAAACGCGAATTTACAAGATGTGTGTAAGACCTATTATGACCTATGCAACAGAAACACGAGTCGAAATAGCCGCTACTAAACAACTGCTAGGAACAATCGAAATGAAGCCGCTAAGATCAATTACGGGCGAAACGTTTAGAGACAAAGTGAGAAGCAGCCACATTAAAGCACAATGATGTGACATTCCAGACATTGTAAGATGGTCCAGAATAAGAAGACGAGCAAGACCACGTTGACGGAATGAATGATAATCGACTACCCAAAATTGCAAAAAAGGCGAAACCAATCAACCGTAGACCTCCAGGAAGATCCCCAAACGATGGTTCGATAGCCTGACATCGGAGTCACAACTTCGGCTACAGCTTTGAAAAAAAACAAGACATTGCCTTAAATWAAGAAGAAGAAGATTAATTTTGAGACTTCTTTTAGAGGGTGATTCACTATCAAAATGATTCTAACTACTGCTCTGTTATTTCCAACTGTTCAAACCTAAATTCTTTGCTCTTTTAAGGGGCAAAGGGTTGCTCAATTCGAATATTTTTTTCTAAGAGGAAACGTTTTTTGAGATGTTAAATTCGACGAGATATTGGATGAAAATCATGATTTAGATTTACTAGAATGAATGCAATTTTTAATATTTTAATGGCCGAAAAGCATGATGATTTAGGCTTTGGACTCTTAATAGACAAAATCCTATTTCTACTTTCATCAATATACTCGCGGAAATGGTTGAATTCTACAATAAAACTTTGTTTGTTTTTGAAATTTTCAGAAGTTTCACCTCTATAAAGTTACCTACAGTAAGTAGATAGATACAAACTAAGGGTAAGTAGTAAGATAAGTGGACAATATTTTGCTGATAATATAAATACATACCTACATAACGATAGTGATATTAATAGACAATATTAAACTTTCTTTAATTGTTTTTGACCTGCAATATCATATTTCAATAATTGTAATATGAGTAGGTACCAATAAAACTACTATGGCACTTTAAAGTAGGCAGACTTTTTTATTCAAAATGTTAATGATGCGATTCTCTTAGTTAAAAGATTCCTGTTGGTATCAATGTCACAGAAACAGTCGAAATGTAGATAGTAACCGCATTTTATTGCTGTGATAAAGTTATATGTGATGATTCAAAAAAAACCGTTACTCTGATATTCAAAAGAAAGCTATATCCTTTAAAAATAATCTTGAAGTCAATAATGTGTCCCTCAAAGGACCAAATTTAGGTACTTTTAATTTATTGTGATCTGATGTCTCCAAACTGCATGCAGACATTTAAAGCTTCCCGCATTATGATTCCATATGGTGCATACAGGGATACCTAAAGTTATTGAGGTAACTGCACTATAAAACAAAACTTCAGTTGATTTTTTAGTTTTCTCGTCAATACATGGGATATAGTTTTATTTAGTTAAGCGAATAAAAAAGAAATTTAATTTTTAAAATGGGTCGAATGAGAAAATTTTAAAGATATTAGTTTGAAAATGGGGAAACATTAAACGTATTATTAGACAATAGAAATTATATTGAAAACTTATTTTGTTTAAACTATTTCAATGTATGCAATTATCTAATCCGCCAGATTTAGAGCGAGTTTGAGCGAGCAGAGACTGTCATCTTCTTGAGAGCTTGTCTGCGTTTAAATATAATCAGCATTCGCTTAAATATTTTAATATGGACTTATTGATGATGATTAATTGTTATTTTGTTGTTTGTTTTCACTTCTATCGCTTTTCGACTATTTATAAGCATTCTATAATATTTTCCTGCTACGCCACTGGCTGTTCAATAAAATAAAGAGGCATCCTACCGTAACGCGTAGGTGACGATGTCCGACAGTTACGATTACCCCTAGAATTAACTGACGGATAACTTTAGGCTATTTCAAGTGGTTTCTGTTATTTACGTTGGCTTTACCAGGCCTTGACATTCAATATTTTGATTAATTAGAGCTTATTGTATATTTATAATCAGTTCCTAAAAATATAATTATATTTTGTTTCTTTTTTACAGTTTGTTGGATTGTGATATAATTAAATTTTGGTACTAAAAGTCAAGTAAGAGTTAAGTTATGTTACTTAGCACTGAGAATGCATTAATTTATTAAGCAAAGCTGATCTTTGACAGTCCAAGAAATATATTTAAACAGTAAATGTGTAATCATAGGTATATCGTTATATTGAGAGCAAATATAGAGAATTTAATAGACGAGAATGGATCATTATCCAATCACAAAAAAACATAATTTAAAATGTCGTTTTATGTAGATATACTTTCACATTTTTTTAAGTTATTTTTGGAAAAGTACAGGGTGAGAATTACATAAGATTTATGATTTTTTAACCTTTGTATTCTTAGACTTCAATTTTCTCGCCGCTTTCCGATTTGAAATGAAGCTCTTATTGTAAATTCTGTTCCATTTGGTTGATATTATGTTGGGATTGTAGAAGCAAAACACTTCAAAATTGCAGTTTTATAATACCACATTTAATTTCAATAATTTTTCATGCAAGAAAATGTTAATGTTTTGTTCTATTTCTCTTTATGATAATCTAGGTAAACACGTTTACTCTTTTCAAGATTGCAGTCTTCATTGATTGCTAGCTTGATTTAAAATAGTGTAGTGAAATTGTTCAGACATTTTTATTCTTAAGTTTTTGAAACATATAAAAATGTAAAAAATCTATTTACAGAGTAGTCTTAAAACTTTAGCGCACTCTATACCATTATATTTTATTATATGGAAGGCATAAAATATATACCTGCTTTTTGCAGTTGTCTTGAATTGTAACATACTTTCAAATTAATAAAAAGCTAATGTTATAATATAATAAAAATTAATAGATAATTTGATAAAAGCAGAAGTGAACAAAACTTGTACATAAATAAATAAAACTTTGCTGTTACTAGTTTTATGATACTTAATCGACTTGTAATGAAAAATATAATGTACGTACAACTCATCATCAATCATACCTATACCTATTTGTATATGACATATTCCGACACAAAAATAGAGTATCGTGAATATTTAATCCAAAAATTAATCAGTTTAGGTTTTAACTGGGCCTTAGGTATGCTTTAAGGCATTGAAAATAATTACATAAATAATTTACAAGACAATCATGGAAAATGAGCAAATGAATCCTACGAAACCAGAACCCCAGAACAACTTCCAAAATCCAAATGACGCAGATATTTTGCATGAGCGGGAAATCTTTGAATATTCAATTTATAGTTGGGAAGGTAAACATTCAACTCCCTAAGTAAAGTATCACTCTTCATACTTACAGAATTACCATATCTCCCAGCAGCCCGAAGATAAGTGTATGTTTCCAATTTCGGCTCTATAAATTCATTCAAATGTTTGGCAATCTGCTTTGTTAAATTTAATTCGCTAGTGTTAAACAACAAAAAAGTACATATCAAAACACTGTTCGTCTTCACGCACAGAAACTCGCACGCAAACTATTCACTGGCAAACCTTCCCTAATAACCGCTACCTAGCAAATTCTAAGCCTAACTGTTCCTCACTGCCTCTTCTAGGTCTCGTTAACCGTTGCTGAAACAATTACCACTCGCCTAGAGTGCTCCGCCCTATTTTCCCCTTCTTTGCGGTTTCTAACGTTGCGCTCACCAATAGAAAGGTCCGCATTGCACGGATACACCCTCGCTATTTTCAGTTATTAGACGAGTTCACATCGGAAGTAAGTTTGATTGGTTTACAGCAGTTGGGGCACTGAAATTTTGGGGAATTCAGGGGCAGACGTGCTTGTTATTGGTGATTGCTGCCGATTTATTGATTAGTCATTGTGTTGACTTTTATTTATCTGGTGCAATTTTTAGCAGCGTTAAGGAAGTGACAATATTGAAGCGTCTTATTTTAATTCGGGAAATTGGTATTAGGTTTCTATATAATTTTCAACAGATTGGAGCTGTATAGCTTAATTACAGACAGAAAAGTTAAATATCGCCATTAGTGACTAGCCATATTTTTTAATTAATTAGTGTGATTTCAGACATTTGTGATGTGAATTTAAATTGTGAGTGGTAAATTATTGTTAACGAATTATCGTAAAGTACCATTCAATTGATTGCTGCTATATGCATATTTAAGAGGGTGCCTAATAAACATTTACAAAATAAAGAACAATATGAAAAAGTAAATATAACCAGAAAAGTTGTTACCTACCATTTATAACAACTACATGAAAATTTGCACCTCTGAGGAATCAAGTGTCAATGATACTAGCAAAACTTTAATCCATAGTGTAGAATGATGAGGTCTATTAATATTTTCAATATAAATGATACCTGCACCAGAGCTGCTAAAAAGTGGTTTATGCTTGATAAATATTTATTTTATTTGCCACTGTTCTTATGTGTTAGTTTCCTATTCATTATTACCTAATATACAGCATTTTTATAGTGTAACAGCCATTAAACTAAAAAAAGAGTAATTTCCTAAAATTGCCAAACGKTGCGATAATATAGGGATACTACGTATATTAAAAATTAATATATATTTAACAAATAAAAGTCCCMCTTATACAGGGTTATTCACGCTATACGGCACCCAAGTGTACAGCAACCGTTTAATTTTTACAAATTATTATTTGATGAATCCAGCGACGCCTAGCRGGCGCACGTTTYAATTTTTTTTTGTAATGTACAGGGTGTCCCAAACGCCCTAAAAGTATCAAAATTGTGTTTTTTAAATGGAATATCCTATATTTTATTACATTTTTGGATTCTCTGAGCAAAATAAGTGTTTGTTTTAATAAAATTTATAATACATAAATCTTGTGGTTTTTTAAATAATCCGAATTTTCTCAAAATCTAATCTGATCTGCACGTGTCAAATACTTTAGAATTATTTAAGTTATGTAAGCGTAATTTGAAGTGAAGTGTAACAAGAAATTATGTTTTATATCCCAATGGTAATAAACTTACCATTTTATACACGGTGTCTACAAATTTAAACTAATCAAATAAGAAATTTAAGTGGCTATAACTTGATTGTATACAAATACAACCCCATATTTTTGAACTTACCAGGAAATGCAATTTTTAATTACTTTTCGAATGGTATTAGGATGTTAATACTTAGCAAAGTTATTGAGTTTTTTTAAAATACGCCAAATAATCGTTCTTTGAGCCATTTGGTGTTTCTTTAATGAAAAGCTCTAAATAACATATCAACAATAACATAAAACAACGGCAAATTATTTATAACAAATATTCCTGTTCACCGTTTAGTTCCAGACACTTGTAAATTTAGCAGTGGGTTTTCAAAACACTTATTTTGCTCCGAGAATCCAAAAATGCAATAACATATAGGGTATTTTATTAAAAAAAAAACAATACTGATACTTTTAGGGCTTTTCCTACACACTGTACAATACAAAAATATTTTTGAAATGTGCGCCCGATAGGCGTCTGCCAATTCATAAAATAATACTTTTTAAAAATCAAACGGTTTAGCCACAAACTTCCGTGCCGTATAGCGTGAATAACCCTGTATAATTTCGTATATACCAACCAACACGGTTGTAAAGTTGTATCATACATTATATTTATTTGTCTAGAAAATATGTGTTCAGATATATGAACTAGTACTTAACTAAAACTATAAAATATATTTTTTACGTCATAATTTTAAGATTAGATAAAAAACGATTTTTTAAGCGTGCAGAGGATGTTGATGAGGACACGAATGAAAATCAGTGGTTTCCGATCTTTCCAATGTTGAATTAATTACGAATAAAGGCCAGCTCTACGTATACAGGCGTTGGTGAAAGTACAAATAAATTATTTTGGAAAGTTATGCGTTCTTTCATTGCTCGCAATGCGTGTTGAAAAAGCTGGTGAGTCTTTCGGGATTTTAGGACGTGATGGAAAACGACTTATTGCTGACGCTTCGCGAGCACGAGTAGCTTGCATCCTCAGAGGTGTTCAACTCTGAAAATATTATACATTCATCAGTCCATTGTGAGCTGTCGACCAAAACATGTGTGAGGACGCAAGCCACTTTTGCTCGCAAACATCAAGATGAAATTGTTTTCTGACCACTCAGCTACTAAAGCTCGAATAACTCAGCAGTTTCAAATATACCAACTTACTAGTATTTATATAAATATTGATGAAAATAGATATACTTAAATCGCATGAGTGCAAAATATTTTTTGAAGCATTTTCATCTGCTAATGCCTGAGGATTTTTATGAGACAAGCATGTAACTGCTTCCGTATTTTCATCTACTTTTGTACAAATAAAAATTGCAAAATATCTATTAACCAAACTGCCAAAGGTCATAATTCCTTTAATAAAAACGGAACCGGTCGGTTCAGTGAGAGACGCACTGCGTCCTCCAAGTACGACACGATTCTTAAGAACGCTTGACCATAAATGCTACTCGCAATCAATTTTTATTCCCGTATTACCGATGGAAATATTTCATTCATGTTCTCAATCTGCAAAGGAATTAATGGAATTATGAATTTAATTCCATTTCTCGGCGACTATGTGTTGATTGCTAAATTCACCATTGGAAGAATGCCATCATTTTTTAAATATCTTCTAGCACTTATTTCGGTATAGAATGTATAAATTACGCCACAGAACGACGTGTTTTAATTTAATGCGTAGATTGAAATCGCTTGCCTCCCTTTACGGAATGGACTGTATTTATTAAATATAAGTTTGTTAATTAAATTACTTCAACCATCATAGTTGACAACAGTAACAAATTGACATAACTTTTATTTGGGTATTTCGTTTCAAATTTAAGATCTTAGGAAATATGGAATTTCCCCATCTTTCATATTACAAATTGATTGCGAGTGCTGTGTTTTTATATGAAAAACAAAATTCTTATCGATTCAATTCGAAAATTATTGGCAACTCAGTAAATGATATTAATTTAAATATTAAGTAAATATATAGAAAATAAGAAATTCAAATTTATAAAATATAATATTAATAAGAACGGATGGACTTGCGAGACTACCGTAAGACTCTTGCGAGTCTTGGTCTTGCAGGACATGGTCTTGGTCTTGCGTTGCAAAATCGACTCAAACATAACGATGCTTTTTTCAAAGTTTCTCAAGCCCCATTTGAGCAACATAATTCATTTTGGCATCTTCGGTTAGAGAATTGAAAATTCGAGTAGTTTTGATCCAAAAAGCGAAATTTTAATATTAGGCTCTTAGGTGCAAGATTATGCCAAAAATTCATGTTTTTCGTCCCGTTCTTGCTCATTTCTTGGAAGCGAAATAAGCAAGAACGCCCATTTTTTACATCATTCCAGAGAGAACTAAATGACCTTTTTAGAAACTAAACTATCGATAAGAAAATGTTGGCAGTTTTCAAGACAAAAAAGTCTTGATTTCAAGAAGTTTTAGATTTGCGTTTTTTTTTAGTTGCAAAATCGACCTAAACATTGCGCTGCTTTTTTCAAAGTTTTTCAAGAACCATATGAGCCACGGAATCCGTTTTGGCACCGTTGGATAGATAATTGCAAATTAAGTTCCGATATTACAACATGAGTGAGGGCATTCGAGTAGTTTTGACCCAGAAAGCGAAATTTTGCTTCGATACTCCTCAGGTGTACGAACAGGACTACCATTGCAGAAACCATCCCACAAGCATCATATCCGCATGATCTTTATAACAAGTTTTATGCGAAATTTTGACAATCTTATAACCTTTTAAAGCAGTTAGGGTAATTCCGGGAGAGATAAACCACCGCCTGAGATGGACCAGTCGGGTATTTTCGACTGTACATGGTATAGGAATAATATTTCAACGCTACCCCGTCAACAAACGACTACCAGTTGCACTCCGATAGTAGCTTTGTGGGTAGTTAATTTTCGCGAGTAGCTTTATTTGTTTCTGCATTTACACATGGTAGATATTTTTTTAACGGTATTTTGAAGGGGCGATTCTAACTAAAAGAAAGTTTTAAAATGCGATTTGTTGTTAAAAATGCATTGAATGGTATCCATTCTGGACAACGTAAATGATGTAAAAGCCGATTAATACATAGATTTTTTGTTTTTGGGTGGTCCGCCTATCCCTGAAATTTGGGATAGATGGACCAGAGTAAATCGGGACAGTTGAACCGGTTTTTATTTTTCTGTTTTATACAATGCCTTCAAAATACCAACGGAAGTTGAGCTCACTAAGAGCTAGATGGACCGAAGAGGATTTCAAAAATGCTGTAGAGAGCACATGTAAAAAAGCTGCAAAAATTTGCTTTTGCCCCAACACGGAAGGATATGCGACATATAATGTTTGCTGTTGCTGAACAGTTACCGTTGAAGCATCGTTTTAGCGCAATCACAAAAATAGCAGAATACGACTCGCTACATATTTTCCTAAGCCGTCATTCAGATCTTAGCATAAGAGTTGCTGAAGGTGTTTCATGAGTCGTGTACCCGGTGGCTTCATGAGTCGTGTACAAACTTTGAAAATATGTGCAATGAATGTCGCAAAAAAACTTATTAATTAAAAAATTAATTAAGTTTAATTTTGTTACTTATCCTTTGTTACGGTTCATCTCTCCCTGTGGTCCAACTGTC